ACACAAGGGGAGCAAAGAAGAAAACACAACCGTGGGATTCCCCCTCAGCACGAGCCTTAGGAGCACTCCCCGCACCCCCAGGCACAGCCAGAAGCCATTTCCTAGAATGGTTTGCTCGGAGTCCACGGCTGGGTTGAGGGCTTCCAGGATGTGGGACATGGAGGGAAACTGGAAGCTCACTGTCAGCCTGGTAATACATTAAGTTCTGGTGTTCTTCCCAACCTGTCGGCAATGACTAATGTCCCAGGGTCCTCAAATAGCTACGGAGTGCATTCTGTCCAGGCCATTAGCAGCACTCGGTGACCGAGAGACGTGGGGAGTGCATCTACTCCTTATCTAAGATGGAATCTTGCTTTCCTACGTTTAATTACTCCGGCTAAAGAACGGACATAAACTAGGGATTAAACCCAAAGCTGTTTTGCTAAGATACTAAAGCTTTTCTGGCAATGGGGGATGCCCGATGCTACAGAAAGTCCTTCCACATAAAACAGTCAAGTGGCCGCTGAGGAAAGCCTGCCCGGCTCTCCCGGCTTTCAGGAGTGATGCAAAGCAGAAGTCTGCTGGCCAGAGTTCCTCGAGAGCGTGGCTAAGGCGGAACTACCTGAGGAGTCTCGCAGGTGAGGTCAGGAAAACGGAATGCTGGGTAAGATGAGAACGGGTCCGAATCGAGGTCTGAGTCTGTATTTGCTAAGCCCTCTGGGAAGATGTCATAACAAAACCCCTTGTTTTGTATGCTCATTAAAAAGAAGCTGGGGCTGGAGAGGTGGCTCAGCAGCAGAGCATGGACTGCTTCCAGAAAACCTGCGTTCAGTTCCCAGCGCCCACGCCGGATGGCTCACAACTGCCTGAGTCTGCAGCTCCAGGAGAGCTGACGGATCAGATGCCTCGGCCATGATGGACGCCAGCACGCACGTGCACAGACCTACCCAAGTACACACAATTTAAAAGCTTACTTTTAGCCTGTGTTGCTTAGTTTTATGTCAACTTGACACAAGCCATAGTCATCTGGGGAGAGGAACTCTGAATTGAGAAAATGCCTCTATAAGATTGGCTTGCAGGGCACTGTCTGTCAGGCATTTTCTTAGTTAATGCCTGATATGGAAGGGCCCAGAGCACTGTAGGAGATGCCGACTCTCACTCGCGGTCCTGAGTTTTCTAATAAGGCAGGCTGAGCAAGCCAGCAGGTAGCACTCCCCGTCTGCCTCCACGTTCCTTGCCTGCATGGGTTCCTGCCCTGATTTCCTTCAATGACGGACTATGGCTGGATGTGTGAGCCAAATAAACCCTTTTCTCTCCTAGTTGCTTTTGGTCATGGTGTTTATCACAGTAATAGAAACCCTGGCTAAGAAAAAAAACTACACCTTCTAGTCCACAGCTATCTGCAAATTAAGCTTCGTATACTTTATAACTCTAGGAGAGATGGAGGGGAGGGACGAAAATCCCCTTGAAAATTAATGCAAAGAGAAAAAACCAGGAACTACGTGGAAAAGAAGATGGGCACTGGAACCAGAATGCCCGCACTCAAAGTCCTGCTCAGACATTTACTTGCTATTTGATGTTGGATAAAGCGCTTCCCTTCTCCTTACGTCAGGTTCTTAAGCCGAGAAAGCAGGGAGGGGAGATAACCACATCTATCTATCTTGGCTCAAGTGGAAGGGCTGAGAACTGTCTGACACACAGTGACGTGCCATAAATATTAACTGTCCCCTCCTCCTCCTGTTTCCAGGCAAGTGCTGCTTGTGGCATGCCTGGGTGATGGCTTTTGCATGTGGAGAAGAGAATGTAAGAGCTTAATGTACAGCGTGATGAGTTACTGTGCGAGGGATAGTCCCCTAACCCCTACTCAGGTCACTGGAGAGAACATTCCAGTTCTGAGATGCTCCCACCACTGCCCCGGCTATTATGGAATTCAATCTCGTATTTCTCCTTACTGTTCTAACATTGAACTGTGCATCTAAACAAATATGGTTTCATTTTGCTTTTGGAGTTCATACAAACGAAAACCAGTGTGTATTCTCTATTGTCTGCCTGCCTTTATTAAAACTCACCCACGTTATTGCTGGGCATGTTAACTCAGTGGCAGGGCACTTGCCTGGCGCACACAAAGCCCCAGGTTTAATTCCTAGCCCCACAAAAATGAAATAAAGTACATAAAACATTTCTTGTGTCTTAGAGCAGGGCTTGGCAGCACACATCTGCAATACCAGCAACTAGGAAGGCTGGGGCAAGGGAACTCCTGCAAACTAAAAGCCAATCTGGACTACACTTCCAGCCAGCTAGAAGTGGTGGTACCTAGGAAAGCCAGATGTGGCAGCACAGGTCTGTAACCCAGAGGCAGAGGCAGGGGGATTGCCACAAGTTGAAAACAGCCTGCTTTACAAAGAGAGTTTCCATAGAAGCCAGAATTCTTTACAGCAAGGATTCCATAGCAAGATCATATCTCAAGAAATAAAAATTTAAATTTAAAAAGGCAAAATAAAAACAGACTTACTTAACTATGCTGTCAAATCTATGTATAACTTGTTCATTTTCTTCTGTTCCACACCAATATGACATTTGCATATTCACGGCTGTTCCATATGTGGGTTTTGGGGTCTTACAATTCTGACTATTGTCTGGGACTGGGAGAACCACCTCCCCGACCTGAGTGACGCTGGGGCAAAGGGCAGTGTGCCGATTAGTGTGTCTTGCACTGTAAACACAGGAAGGGAGGAAGTGTGCCTGCCTGCGATGGTCACGAGCACACAGGCAGGTATGGCACGCCCCTCCTGAAGACGTGGGCATGAATGCAAATGTGTAACATATATCTGAGTAGATAATAGCATCCACCCCTATAACGAAGGTGTCGTCTAGAGGCGGCATCGCTAGGATATGTGTGGCTCACTTATTTCCACACCATCATCGTCTTTTTGGGGGTGATTATACAAACCTGACTTCCCACTCAGTGGAGCCTTGCTTCTGCTCCATCGTGGTCCCATCAGCACTGGGACTGCCATGCTATCAGGTTTTGTTGTTCTGTGAATGGGTGGTGATGCCTCCGTGGGGTTCCAATGTCCACTTTCCTGGATACTAATGTACTTGAAAACCTATCCCTAGGTTTATTGGCCTCTTTTGGAAATGCTTTTTCAAGTCTTCTGCTCATTTCTGTACTGGGTCCTTCATTCTTTTTGTTTTGTTTTGGTTTGGTTTGGTTTTTTTTGAGACAGGGTTTCTCTCTGAAACCTTGGCTGTCCCGGAACTCACTCTGTACACCAGGCTGGCCTTGAACTCACAGAGATCTGCCTGCCTCTGCCTCTGCCTCCTGAGTGTTGGGATTAAAGGCGTGTGCACCAGCACTACCAGGCGGGGTTGTTCATTCTCAATGAATTTTGTAGTTCTTTGTTCAAGAGGCAAATCCTTTGCTTCACGATGCAAATTGATTTTTCAAGCTGCCTTGGCAGTGTCTTAAATGGGTCTTTTGATAATAAAAATCCTTAGTTGTAATGTACTGAGTTGATCAATCTTTTCTTATAATATACAGATGCGATTTGGGGTTGTTTAAGAGCTCTCCCTTGTCTTTCCACACTGCTGGAGTGACTTTTCACACACCTCAGCATTTTGGCGGAGGCACCTCAAGCACAAATGGCATGGAAAGACATGGCTTGAGACAGTGGCACGGTTAGCAAAGGCGGAGTGTGGGCTCGTGAGCTGTGCGGGGATGGATGGGCTCTGAACGGGTGACTGTGTTTCAGGACAACTGGAAAGTCAGAGCTGGTGTGAAGGGTAAATGACCGAGGGACCCAGAAAGCTCCGGCCACAGCGCTGACACAAAACAGGCCTTCCCATGGTGGGAAGGTGGTGGCAACATCTTTCCTTTGGTCCCTCTCTACCACAACTGCCTGAGCCTTGTGAACATGAATGAAACATGGGTGAGGTCAGCGAATGAGACTGACCACACCTTCCAAAGGCCAGCCAGGCTTCCCTGGTATTCAGGGTGGTGCCCTAGGATGAAGTAGACCATCTTTACCTAGTCAGTCACACAGGACGAAGTGGACCATCTTTACCTGGTCACACGGGATGAAGTGGACCATCTTTACCTGGTCAGTCACACGGGATGAAGTGGACCATCTTTACCTGGTCAGTCACACAGGATGAAGTGGACCATCTTTACCTGGTCACACAGGGATGTCCTTTCCCTGGTGCAATGTTTTTCTGAGCTCCCTCAGGGAGGGGAGGAGGAAGCTGAGGAGCTCTGCCTATAGAACTGAGGTATGGGATAGGGGGACTGCTTCAGACAGGGACAGGCACCTCCTGACCTCAGTGAGTCTGGGTCAAAATAGCGAGTACCAAATAGCATGTCCTGCACTGTAAACACAGGAAAGGAGGGAGTGTCTGCCTGCGCCTGGCACAGGCAGGTGAAGCCCCTCCTCCTCCTGGAGCTCTCTTCCTGAGCCCAGGAGTGTGTAAGTGATCCTGCACAGGAGGGCATGTCCTCAGGAAGCTGCCCCAGCAGCAGCCTGGCATTCTACAGGTGATGTAGATGCTTAATCGTGCTCAGAGCTGGTGGCCTCCCAAAGTCCTCTGCCCTACTCTGAGACAGGGCAGGCACTCAGAGACCAGACAGCCTCTCACTCGGTACGGGACACTTCTGTGAGGGAACACCAGCTGCAACTTTTCAGGCAGATCTTTGTTATTTTTAAAGACAGGGTCTCACTATGTAGCCCTGGCTGGCCTGGAACTCCTCATGTCCACCAGGCTAGCCTCAAAGTCATGGAGACCCACCTGCTTCTGCCTGTGCCCCCTCCGCCCTCGTGCCCAGCTCAGTGTCCACTTGTAAAACAACTGGAAAAGTGTTTCACACTGCGTCCCTCTTCTGCTCCCTCCGTGGTGAAGCCCCTGGAGACTTTCTCATAATGCTGCAGCCCTCTTGCTCTCCCCCATATCCCCAACTCATGAGATTTCACTACAAACATGGCCAATACTAAGGGCTGGGAAGACAACAGAGGTGGAAGAATTGGTACCTGTGCCTAGGGTTTGTCCAGCGGAGTCAAGGGAAAGAAGCAATGAATCTGCAACACAAGAGGACAAGTTCATGTCTTTCTTCTTTGTCAGTGCCCGCTGGCTCCACCCACACCCTGCAGCGGGCTAAAAGCACTAACCCCTCCCCTTCGGCCACTCCCTCCCTTATAGTCCTGTTTGCTTACTGTCCCCCTCCCCCAATAAAACCCTAAAAGTAGCCTGTAATTATTTATAGCATATGCTAGAATGATAAAGTGGAGATGCCAAAGAAAGGGAAGATATAATGGCAGGGAAGATGTTAGTGCACAAAACACAAGCCACCAGGGCCTTTGCACACACAGCAGGCAGAATCAAGGTGAGTGTGAGCTCTGAAGCAGCCAAAGCAAAGGAAGAGAACAGTTCCGGGATTCAGCGCCCACAATGCATTCTTCTTCCATCCAATCACACGGTCGGGAAATATTTGCTGGGCCTCTATGGTACGAGGATAGTATGATACAGAAGTCAGCAATAACAAAAACAAAATGTGGTCTCCACTCTCGTGGGTCTCCTTGTCTTTCATCTTGGAAAGAGTTGTTATCGGAGAGCAAATTACTTAGCAAGACACTGACAAAATTAAAAGCAAGAAGAGAGACTGCTGTTTGTTTTAGGGCCAGAGGGTGCTGGACAGGAGGGCTTCCCTGGAGAAAAAGCTGGCCCTTGGGCTGAGAGTTGAAGGATGTTGAGGGTCTAAGGCAACAAAAATGGAAATCCCAAGCAGAGAGACGGCCTCATGTAGACAGAGACCTGCAGGAAGAGGGTACCATATGTTTCAGAGAAACTCGAAGACCGAAACCTATGTAAACACTGTACTTTCCTGTGAGTCTTAGAGAGGGGACCAAGTAACACTGACATCGCTTCTCTCTCAACATTTCCTGAGTTCGTAGCTGGGAATCTGTGTGGCTGCCTCTGAACATATGACCCAAACTCAAATGATGCTATAAGGCCATGCACAGTTACACAATGAGGGATACCAAAATGAGGTGTGGCCCACACACAACCCAGACTCAAGAGATCAGATCCAAAGGCTCACTTACTGCAGAGTGCTGGCTGAACACATACTGGACCTGTGTGTACAGCCACAGCCCACTCTGCAGTATCTTCCAGATCTCAGTACACACGGAAATTCAGCACAGTCATCATAACTCTAAAGAACAGCAACCGGCGCTAGCATAGTAACTCAGTTAAAGCAGCCATGACAGCTGCTCATTCAAGGCTATGTCATGAGCGCCACACCTGACACTAAGAACCACTGCAGAATTACAGCTGGACAACAAACCCTTCAGACAGTCCTTCGGAGAGATGTTCGCTCAGAACTGTGGGACAGCGAGCTGGGGAAGCGGCTCCCGAGAGGATCCAGAGGCAAGCATCCTGCATGGTCAGGTGAGGGCAGACCATGTGCTCTGAAATCCACCAAGAGAAAGGCGGGGCTTCCTGCTCTTTAGAGAAACATGGATGCACCAGCAGGCCCCTTGATGAACAGCTGGCCATCCCATCTGCATAAGCCGAGTCTAACTCAGGAGTGCTACCCCTTCATCGGCTTGTTTCATGTCTGTTTCCTCTCAGGGAGGTATGTTCCTCCTTTTAAAGCTGCAGCCTGGGCGAGGAGGAGAGGTCTCACTGGCCTGGAGAACAGGAAGATCCCCTGAGGAGTTGACTGCCCAAGACAGCTCAAGAGCCGGGCAGATGACTCAGTAAGTAAAACACTTACTGTTCAAGTGTGAGGAGTGGTGTGTTGAACCCCTGTGAAAATGTGGGGTGGGTGTGATGTCTGCCATGATCCCAGAACTCAGGAGGCAGAGACAGAGATTCCCAGGGCAAGCTAGGTAGCTAGACTAGCTGACTCAGTGAGCTCGGAGCTCAGCACTGTCTCAGAAGATAAACTGGAGATCAGGGGAGACACCCGATGTCAACCTCTGGCCTGCACACACAAATACACACACACACACGGACATATATATACATCACACACGCACTCATACACACACATGTATATACACACATGCACACACACACGCACACACACTAGACATGGACATATATACACATCACAATGCACTCATACACACACACGTGTATATACACACATGCATGTACACACACATGCATAGACATGCACGCACACATGCACACACACACCACACATGGACATATATACACATCACACACATGCATACTCATACACACATGTACACACACATCACACACACATACACACATGTACATACACACACGAAAAATACTAAAATTATAAGGACCTAATTTTCACTGCAGTTGACATATTTTTGCAATTATAATTTACTTTCTTTGTATTCATAGCAATCCTGATTTAATCTTTTAAAAAAATTTTTGATCCAAACATTTAAACAAACAAACAAACAACTGGACCTTAATTAAATAGCTAAAGAACAATAACTATTGACGGTGACTGCCTCTGGTGGTGGACTACAAATGTCTGCGGTGAACATGTGTTATTTGTATCAAGGGAGGTGGGGGTGGTTGGGTACTGGTGCTCACTGGAGTCCACACTACTTAGCTTGAGGTGGGAGAGCACTGCCTGAGACCAGAAATGGTGTGTGTGTGTGTGTGTGTGTGTGTGTGTGTGTGTGTGTGTGTGACAGACAGAGGGAGTGGAGGAGAAGAAAAATTTAGAAATAATTGCTCCAGCACAAACTTGCTGGTGTCGAAGCCAAGGCATAGCAGATTCCTGACCTCTTCCATTGTTTGCGCTGAGGGTTATTCAGCTTTTCACTTACTGGGATTGTCCTGCGAGCTCAGACCAGCTACAGCAACCCCTTTGTGAAGCATCCCTCCCTCACCTCCTTCTTCCTTTCTTTCACACACAGTTTATCCCTTGGTCCTGGGGATGGAACCCAGGGCTTTGCACAAGCTCGGCAATGCTCCTGCACTAAACTGCACCCCCAGGCCCCTTCTCGCAAATATTACCAAGCGCCAATGCCCAGTAAGAGCGGTTTCTGCCTTGCAGGCCAGGGAGGTGGATGAGCTGGAGGAAGCATGTGACCAGGATCCTGGGAGGGAAGCCCCAGGCAGGTGGCTGTCTCCCGGGGAAGCAGTCACTGCAATGGCCAGGAGCTCGTGGAAGTTCAGATGATGTGAGCGAGAGGAAGTGAGTGACATATTCATGCTTTGTGTAAGTTCGAATGAATTTTGTTTTGAATATTAAAGGCATAGCCCAGATACGGTTCGGCGATTCATTATTTGTGTTTATTCTAAAGGATGTGAGATTATTTTAGTTATAAACCACGGTGACAGCTCACGGGAAAACTTAGCATTCGACAAAGCAAGAGGTCTGCTTTTGCGAGCAACGGAGCAAGAATCCAGACTTCTCCCTCTGCAGCTAACAAATATGTCATTTTCGCTTAAGCGGTCCAGGCCGCAGCTGTTCCTGGCTCCTAGGCTGGGGGCGGCCATGTGGCGTGTTGTACAAGTGACCTAACAGAATCACAGACCAAAGCGTGACAGAGCTCACTGAACAATGAGGAAAGCTAGAATTTACTGGGAGCTTTTTATTACGGTCAGATGTTTCCTGTGTCTGGTTTCCGAGGCAGAATGGAGAGAATACAGAAGGAGTGAGGAGGATGCAGCTGGTCGTCTTAGCTTTGGCCAGGGCTTTGCAAGCCCCAGGCTTGTGTGAATGAGCCGCACTCTGGGGTGGCGCCTGCCTGTCACCCCATACATCCCACACATCCAGATCTTCTGCTATCCGGCCCCTGCAAGCTTCAGGGATGTAAGATGGGGAGAAAACAGATCGTGTCCAAGCAAACAGGTAAAATACAAACAGATAAAACTAACATGTTCCTGTGACAAGGACAGGAAAAAGAGCAATATGGGAGATTTCACTGCTCCGTAACGCGGAACTATTAACCAGTGCACGCCAGCCACAGTAAGAACACCAACGAGCAGACAACAGTAAGACCAGGAGAGTCCTTACTCTCAAGAAATCCACACCCAAGTCGGGGTGGTAGTGGGAAATACTATTTAAATAAATGGCCGGAGTCACTTCTGACAGCGGCAGTTGGTGTCGAGAATACTAAGCAGTGTGAAAAGGCCAAGGATGGACAAACAGACATGATCCATAGCGTGTTTGCAGCATGTGGGCTGAGACCTAAAGACAAGAACCAGGGCAGGAAAGGGCTACAAGGGAGTCCCGGGGGAGGGAGGGAAAGGCTGGAGCCTCCCTGCATTTAAGGAAGAGAGGAGGGCCAGCTGCTGGGGCAGAGGAAGCAGGAAGGTGGGGCGTGTTGGAAGAAGGAAAAGGCCTGGTGGAGAGATGTCTGTGTCCCATTCAAGAGCAGAAAAGAAGCCTTTTAGAAAAAAATTTTTTTCAAATGTTCAAGGTTTTTTGTTTATTTGTTTTTGTTTTCCTGAGACAGGGTTTTTCTGTGTAGCTCTGGCTATCCTGGAACTCGTTCTGTAGACCAGGCTGGCCTCAAACTCACAGAGATCCACCTGCCTCTGCCTCTTGGATTAAAGGTGCGTGCTGCCACCACCTGGCTTCAAGTATTTTTTTTTTGAAATTTATTTATTTTTATTTAATGTGCATTAATGTTGTGCCTCCATGTATACCACACAGGTCCCCGTTGCCCATGGAGAAGACAACAGATCCCTTGGACACTGGAGTTACAGATGGCTGTGAGTCAACACGTGGGAGCTGGGAACTGAACCTGGGTCCTCCGCAAGAGCGGCAAGTGTTCTCAACTGCTGAGCACTCTCTCCAGCCCACGTATGGGTGTTTGACTTCATACAAGTCCATGTACCATCTGTGTGCCTGGTGCCCACGGAGGCCAGAAAAGAATGTTGGATCCCCTAGAGACACAGACGGTTGTGAGCCACCATGTGGGTGCTGAGGATCCAAGCCAGGTCCTCTAGTAAAGCAGCCAGTGCCCTAAACCACCGAGACAACTCTCCAGGTCCGAAGAAGTCTTTTAAAACCAACAAAGTAGGCTAAGCAGGACAGAGGAGAATGTGCCGGTGGCAGAGTGCCTGGCCAGCG